TCAAATTGGCATCAAAATGCTCCGAATCGATTGCCAATTGCAATGGCACTAATCCCTACAACACACAACTGATATTAGTTGCTATAAAAATAAAAGACGCTTTCCCCGATTCCATTCCGCATTCAAGCTATAACCCCGCTAACATAGCTAACAACGGTAGAGCATTTTCTTAGATGTAACTAAAAAATGCACTGATATCGATTGTGGATTGCTAGTTATGTTTTAGTACTAATTTAATATCGTAATGAATCAGCAATCTATTAAAAAACTGGTTTCCCACAGAAATCGATTTGCTATTTGCCAGTAGATCAAGCTTTTTTTCACGCATGTGAAAGTGCTGTGCCGTCAGAAGAACGGGGGAAAAACCAGGAAGATCAGAGAAAATAACGGGGAACTGGGCCCTCAAATACAGATACCACGACTCCCTGGGACTAATAATGTGCGTACTTTTGTGAAAACGCGTTTTGTTAAGATATACAGATATGATTCTCCAGAAAAAAAAAGCGCACACCTCAGAGGTTTTCTTGTTCACATCCGCCCTTTTTTCACACAGTAACCGGACTGCATCCAAACTTCCGATCTTTACTGCATGATGAATCAAGAAAGTACCTGTAAAAAATAACAGTTTGGAAAATTTCCCTCAAAATATTCCAAAATCGAAGGATGCAGATACTCATGTGAGAATATCCCAGTAATATCACCAACATAGGCAACCCAGACAAACATTTCGGGCGGTTTTACTGAATCCCTGATATTCATATTGGCAAAAAAATGATAAACCTGTCTTTCGTGATAAATTTAAAAAGCGAAGGAATTCAGGGCTGGACAATAAATCAACAGAATAATTTAATGATTCTAGCATAATTCACAAACCAGCATATTTAATATCCAAATCAGCTCCTGCTGCTGCAGCAATCATTTCAGCGACTGCCATATTTTTAACTTCAAAAAGTGCGCATGAAATCGGTGAACGTCCTTTTTGATCTGTTATGTTCACATCGATCAATGAATTTTTCAAAAATAATCCAACAACATCAACATTTTCCAGCTCAACAGCATACAACAGCGGAGTCCTGAAAATAAGGGTTTTTCGTTTATCAGTTTTCGAATTTCTGGTCATTTAATTTTTTCGAATTTCTGGTCATCCTTTTGTTCATAATCACTGGCACGACGGGGTTAACGTACTTGAGTAAATTACAATTCATAGTCTGATTTTCCTGAACCGTCCATTTTCCCTCATGTTAGTTCAACAACTCTGCATTTACGACTTCCTGAGAAGTTTTTGACCTAAATATTTTATACTGCTACGCATGATACTGAGGTTTTCATTACCAACCCTCGTCTACCACAACGCAGACATTCCTGTTTGGAATGAACACTTCTTGGTTGGGCCAAAACAAACAAGAATCAAAGAATGAATACAACAGAGCACTTCGAATAGCAGTCGACATCATTGATCGGCAAACAAGCCAAATGAGCTGATAACCAATCCAGTAATTCTTTGGAACATTTGGTGGAAGCTGCTATATGCAACAGATTTTTGCCGGTTTTCTGGACACGATGATTGATCTCAGCGCCATTCTGCATCAAAAAATTTAATGCATCAACATGGCCTGAAAAATGGTGCAGAATCAGGAAAATGCCGTAATACTAGGCGTATATCCTCAGGAGAAAAAGAAATCTAGAAAAGCCTTTTCCGATGGTTTTCTTGCCAACTCATTCTGACAAAAATCTCAAACTCATGTCTTTTTTCACCTTTCTCATAGTTGTTTCGAATGCTCGAAAGCATTCTACAACTTCTACTTGGTTAGGCCATCACTGCTTAAGTTGTTGACCATCGCTGAACATTTGTGGAACAAACAGTAAGCCGAGAAAATCAGCGAAAAGGCAGAGCCATCCGTTTATCGTTCTCAAAAGGATAAAGTAAAAATAAAAAAAACCATATTTTTTAAAAATTTAAAAAAAATTAAATGATTTTAATTTTTTTGCTATTTTTGCAGGCGCAAAATAGATGTCGGAGGACCTCGCTTTTTACTAACACTAAGGTGAGTCACTACAAGTGAAAATCATTGCTCTTGATTTCACCGATAAAAAAAATAGCTGGTACGGGAATTGCGGGGAAATAGTATAAGTAATCTTGAGCCTTGCTGCCGGTAATCTTTGTTTTTCGTGTATCTTTAAAAAAAGAAACAAAAAC